AGCTTTTTAAAACACAAGAAACAGAATCCAATCTCACTTCCCCAGCCCCCTACCAAAATTTAAAATAACAAGTTCTTCCAAAATAACCAGTATAGGGTCTGGGGGCAATAATAGAATACAGATGAACCAAGATACAAAAAGCAAAGATCAGTTGAAATCAAAATACACATTTCTTGTTATATGAAGGTTATTTTTTTTTTCAGATGCAGAGCTTGTGAGTTCACGGTTTATTTGTTAGTAAAAAAATATGTCACTATACAAAAAAAGTTGTGGACATGCTGGAAAGGGTCCAGAGAAGGGCCACAAATACGATCAAAGGAAACCTGCCATATGACAAATGACTGAGAGAACTGGGTTTGTACAGCCTTGAGAAAAGAAGGCTTAAGGGAGACCTTATCACCATGCTCCAGTCTTTAAAGGGTAACTACAAAGAAGATGGATGCTCCCTTTTTATATGGAGTCACATGGAAAAGATGAGGGGTAACGGGTACAAGTTAATGCTGAGGAGATTTCAGTTGGACACAAAAGGACAATTTTTCACAATGAGAAAAATCAGCTACTGGAATAATATCCCCAGGGGAGAGGCAGATTCCCCAGCATTGAACATTTTTAATATTTGGCTGGACAGGGTGATGGGTCATCTTGTCCAGACCATGCTTTTTCCAAAGAAAGTTTGGACCAGATGATCCTTGAGATTCCTTCTAACCCAGTGTTCTATGATTCCAGGAGAATACGTTTTGCTAGCAATGACTTTTCCTGTTTTACAGGGAGTCGTACTAAACTTTCATAACAGTCTGATTTTGCAATGCATCTCTAACTTAGGAACATCACAACTTACTTTTAAGATAATTATGTCCCATTTTAGTGACTACCCTAAAATTTTTTCTAGTCAGTATAGAGGGAGATTGGACATACGATGACATAATGATGATCAATACATAGCTCAAAGATCAGTGCTAAAGGCAGGCTTGGGAATACTTAGCCAGTGGGGTGCATTTGCTGAAAGAGAGCATTTTCAAAGGCTGTATTCCTCCTGACTATCTGGGAAAATTGCCTTCTGACATCAAAGCTTTTACAGCTGATAAGAAGAGCTTTAAACTGAGAAGTGAGGGGAAAAGGTCAAAAGAAACTGGTTTAATTTCCAAACCCGGTTAAAAAAAATTCTGATAGACCAAGATACAGGAACGGATAGAAGAATATCAGTGGTGAAAAGGCAGATAGTGAGGAGAAAGAAAACACACGTATCGACAGATATTTAGGCACTTCTCTTGATGAGAATATATTTAATCCAAACAAGTGACTGGATTTTTCAATATAGAACTGCTACAGGTAATCCTCCAAATGAATATTGGGTATTACAATGGAGAATGAATACCTGAGGAATGCAATGGAGAAACATGAATTATTGCATAGGCTGTGTAAGCAGACATTTCAGCAGAAAGTGGGTGGAATCACAGAAAGCATTAAAATTTCTTGTGTTTAAGGGAAGATAGAAATGAAAGCAAAGATCACAGCTTCATGTGCCAATGATATTCTAGGCCCCAAAGAAGCAAGAATGTGGAATTGGAACAAAATGTAATCCCTTCCAAAGGCTTTCCAAACAACTTCTTCAGACTAGTGTTTGGGCTCTACTATTGATAGTTAAGGGTGAATTTTATTATGGAGAGAGAAATTAGAGTCAATGGAGATGTAAATACTATTTTAAATTGTATTTTATGGGCACTTGTCTTTTCAGATAGAAATTATAGAGCCAATGCTTCAGTTTTTAATAAAGATCGTGATGCTGGCAGTGAGTAAAAACAAAGTAACTGTGCTAACGTTTAATTTTACACTGTGTTTCACAAGTCTATAGAAGATATATAAAAAGGATTTTTAAAGAAATGTGTCAAAAATTAGAGCTGGTTTTCTCTTTCATGAAGCTGGGAAGTATGTCCTAAAAGTTTAATGTAATTCATGAAAGTTTTCTATGACACTGAGTTTTATAGGGATTTATCTATGCAGGCTACCAGAAATCGTTTCGTCACACTTGAAGGAGCTCCTACATACGGTCAAGGTTATTTTTCATTACTGAAAATACCAGTCTCTTTTCTCTGGCCTCAAAATTTTGTTCCCAAACATGAAGCAAATCGTTGCTTGATTGTTTTTAAATGAGATTCAATTAATCAGTTAGCAAGAATTGTTTGCAACTTTTTCCATGTTTCCTAAAGAACCAAGCCACTTAATAATCACTGCATTTATATTTTAATTTTCTAATCCTTGAACCAAAATACCATTGAATCCGCTTCTAATGTCATTGCTCATAGAAGAAAAGAGTCAGTTAACTTGCAAGTTAAAGAAACTACATTCTTGTGTCTTCTTTTTAAACACAGTTTATATTCTTCAGCTACAGTAAAGTATAAATAGTTTTCTTTCAGTCTGCACTAGCAATCGGGACAATGTCTTATTTACTGCTGTACGTTGGTATACACTGAGGATGGGAACAGGACTGCTATTTTTGTTTTATTCTGTTCAGTGCAAACCTTTTCAAGTTCCAGATGTTCTTCCCAGATTTTAAGCTTTCTTTCATTAACATGAAGCAAACCATTGTTCCTTTTCCTGAAAGTCAAATCATGCCAGGATACATCAGAAGTCCATAGACTTCCATTGGAAAGCATTATGGTACTGTTCAGTGTAACTTTTAAAATTCACCTGAATTGATCAATACACTTCCTGTAATCAGTGAAGTATTTACTGGTTGTCTGGGTTCAAAGAAAAATACCAACTGAAAATCCAAAATCAACAAAGACCACAGAAATTGCTATGTAGAGAATCAGTTCGCATGTTGTGTGTAGGGGTAGATTGATAAAACATTCAATTTCAAGAGGTAAAGGGGAAAATAAGATTTTTTTAAAAATGCATTCTGACAAAGAAGCTTGATGATCTGTGGAATAATGCTACTGGCTGAGCTAACTGCCTCCTTGAATTTGGGGCTCTTCTGCTTCAAAAGGCTCAAGTGATTATTGCTAATATGTTCTCATTACATTGACAATTCAGCCTTAAAAACTCGCTGTCATTGTGTTCGCTTGGCTGGAATCCACTGCATGCAGCAATTGTTATTCCACTAGATGGCCAGCTCCTGCTGCAGTTGTTATACAGGGAGGGTGCTGAGACACCACTAGTGGCACAACACATTGTGCCTTGCAGGAATCAGTATGTGCTGTAAAAAGGATAAGGGAGGGTTGTTGGAACAGTGCTAGAAGCACACTACATTTTGCTTTATAAGAATCAAGATGAGGTGTAAAACCATATGTTTGCCCATAGTTCATCATGCTCATTTCTGTATCAGAACCACGAGGTGTAAGGAACTGTATCTAGTATATCTACCCTGAGAAAAGGACTGACACAGTCACCAAGCTAGCTCAAACTCTCGATTCCAGTAACGTCTTTCTCAGACGCGGTGAGAAAGCGATGCCCTGTCACTGGCAGTAAAGGGCAGGCATCCTCACAGGTTAGGCTGATCGTTCCGACTCACACCAACATGGGAAGATGAGATCTGTGCAGGCAAAATCTCGTTATAACGTCACCTTTGGATTGAATCTTCCCATTTTTCAAAGACAAAATAAGTGGAGGGGATAAAGACTTAATAATTTTACTCAGTAGGCATGACCATATATGTAACTGTAGCTTTCATATGGCAATGGGAAAGAGGTAAAGCAACAAGCAAAGTTGTGGTTATACATTTGTCACTGTGTTACAGGGAGGGAGAGTTGGGTTTGTTTCTGTTTTGGTTAACACAACAGTAAGGTCTATTTTCAAACATAATGACTATGCGCTGAGAAGCTGAAAATCACAAAAACAGAGAGCCTGATCCCACCTATTAATTGCTGTCA